GGAGAGGCCCAGTAACTGCACAGAAGTTTGAAAGGCTAAAACAAGGGACGGTGGCCCCTGGCACACATGCTCCTGCCTCTGTAGAGAGCCCAGGACTGTGATCTCCAGACAGTGTGTTCCTCAGGGACCCTGAGCCACAGAGCATTCGATGCCACATGGGTGCAGTGGGGAAACCAGCTCCAGAAAACATCCCAGCTGTATGCCGTGCAGGAACTAATCAAGGGGCAGGGAACGTGAATTGCTGGGGGGGGTCAATGAGAGCTGCACACGCCACAGCTGGTAGCACAGTCAGGCGGCCTGATCGCCAGGTGCTGAGCAGCTGGGCCTTGAACTTCAGCAAGAACATTGGGATCATCAAGCCATTGGTCACTGCCTCATCCTCATGCACACGGTGCATCCCCGTCCTGCTGGCTTCTCTTGCTGCTCCCAGAACACCCACCCTTGCCACGCATGTCGCCTAGGGCACACTGATTTCCCCTGTGACTGGAAAACAGCAACTTCTGAGGGCCCTGGGCATGCAAATTAGCAACAAGTTCATTTAGCTCATTCTTCTCCCCTACAGGTGGAGCCAAGAATATGCAGCATTTTGGGAGGGCTTCCGAACCTCTGACACCACTTAAAGAAGTGCGGCTCACATCCTTGCTCAAGACAGTATCGCTGGGTACTGACTGTCTGGGTTGTTTCGCCTCCCCACGCCTTTTAGGGAAGCTGCTGGTAGCTACGGCCACAGAAAACTGGGGGGCAGTTTGCAGTATTGGGCAGGGTGGGGCTGTCTGTTGGAACGTGCTAAGCCAATGAATGCAAACAGCATGCAAACACAAACAAGCAGGGCAGTGTCTCCGCTCTGGGTGGAAGGGTTTTCAGTCAAATTAACTTTTTATTTCACCTGCTCTTGCTTTCCCTTTGCAAATCCTTCCCCACCGTGTGCAGAACCCCTGCTGGGGTGTGTGAGGATGGGGGTGTGGCCACAGAAAGAAAAGGGCATCTTCCATGTTGGACAGCGGGCAGTGGCAGAGCACGCTGTGGCTGCCTGGAGCACGCTGCAGGCTGTCCGTGCTGTGCTGTGGAATGTTTAAACAAACTGAATGTAGCTGTTAAACACAAGCTGGCCTTGCCTTGGTGAGAAGAACACCACATGGTGCAAGGAGTGGATGGATTTGAGCATAATCAAGAAGAATTTTCACAGCAATTCCAGACGCCTGAACTGCACGTACCCAGCCAGCAAGGATGGATGGTCTGAAACCACCATGAGAATGAAGGTTTGGGAGCAATGTGGAAGGGGTCTGGAAGCATTTCAGACAGAGGTTCGTGGTGTTTATGTCTGCAATGTATGCAGACACGCTGAGCGTGCCAGGAAAGTGGCTTTACTATTAACCATAGCTGGTACAGCCAGAGATTTATAATAGCTTCCAGCTCTCACCTGTGGACAGCACAGATTTTGACAAAGTCCTAGCACAGTTCAAAGTGTATTGTGTACTTAGGAAAAGGGAAACCTATGAAAGATTCCTGCTCCGCACAGAGTACCAAAGGCACAAGGGATGGAGGAGTGAGGTACAGACGTGAAGCTAAGATGCCAATGGTGCAGTTTGGGCCTTAAGCGATTCCCTGCTCAGGGACAGCCTGGTGGGGCGCTGCAGTGAGCAGTCGCTTGGAGCCTGTGAGCGTCTGGTTTTAGAAAAAGCTGT